GGTCTTTAGTAATACCAAAAGGCCTGGATATGGCATCATTTTCAACATCATTATTTTTGAAACCTTAAGATTGTAAAAAATGAAAAAAATAATAAACTCCATTTAAGACACTAGAAACTGTAATTTTTAAATTTTTTGTAACATTCTTTTTAGAATCATGACCAATTCTTGATATTGAAGGCCAATATATCTGAATTTGTAACTATTTCAATGAGAAAAAGTTCTTGCATTACTTTTTGTATATTATCTATACATTTCAGTGCCTTTAAATAAAAAATCTTTCCAACAGCATGCTATCTCATCCTTTTTTTGTGACAGAACGTAATGATTTTGCATATGAAATCTTTACCAATTTTAGCACTTTTATTATGACTATTCTACTGTAAACCTAAAGCTGTGTAATTTTAATACTTTTTTCAGAGATTACTGATACAGTAAAAGACTGGCAGCTACAGATGCCAGTAATTTACTCTTTATTTAGTTTCACCACTGTATTTATTATAACAGTAAATTTAGTTAAATGTTATTACAGTGTTAAACATGTAATTTAACGGCAAATTACAGCTAAATTCACAACAATATACATTTTTTACAGTATTTATGCTGTTTTAACTTAAAAGTAACACACTGTAAATATGGTACAGATAAAATAACTTTACAGTAAAATGCTGCCATCTGTAGCTGCCAGTATCTTACTGTAATTTACAGGATTGTTACTTAGAGTGAACTTGATGTTCTAATGATTCCCTTCAGAACCGGTCCAATCCTCCAACATGTTCCTGATCATTGATCATCCTGAATAATGTCCAGCCTTGTTTAAAGAGCAGAAAGATCAGTTTCTGAGACCAACAGGTTGGTTTAAATGACTGAGAGAAGTTTGGTGATTTAGTGTTGAGTTCTGACATGGAGCAGAACCAGGAGTCCTTTCTACTCTGACCATCCAAGGAGGATCTGATGGAGCTTCAATCAGAACCAGATGGTCCATTAGAGACCATCCGGTCTCTAATGGACCATAGAGACCAGATGCAGCTGCAGCTGCAGCAGCAAAATCTCACAAATAAAAACTTCTTATTAGGAAGCAGGACTGATAACCAAACCTGTTCAAAGTAACTCAGATCATTAGTTATGTGAGCAGCGTTAATATTCCAGAAGGTTTTAGTGCAGCTTAAAGTGGCTTTATTCTATATAACTGCAGGTATTAAGAATGGAAACCAGATCTGAATGAATCTTTGTGTGAATTTTTCTGTCAGCTTTTCAAAGATTTATTTACATTTTATTAAATAAATGGTCCATTAGAGACCATCTGGTTCTGAATCAGATCCACATGAGGTATTATTTATATTAACTGTAGAAATGGTTGATGATCCGCCATGTTGGATGATGTTTAAACCTCAGAGGTGAAACTGGAATCTTAAAGTTCATTCAGATGTTTCCTTTCAGCATCAATCTGTCTGCAGTCAGATTTAGAGAATGATCCAAATATTAACCTAGAAATTAAATTCACTGCTGCCATTTTGTTTTTGTTTAAAACTAATATTGGACAAAAAATGAATCTGTTTTATCTTTAAAATGTTTAGTTGATGTAAAACAAAATAAAATACAATGAAATGTTTGTGGTTCAAAGGTCATGTCAACATCATAATTTGTGTCCTGATTGAGGTTTTTATTTTCTTTTATATATATTTTAGAGTTTGTAGCAGAAAAGTTTGTTGATTCTAGTTAAATATTGTTTCCTGTTATTTATCAGCAGTAATTGTTTAGTTATGGTGTCAATAACTGGCCAGTAGGGGGCAGTGTTGCTGCCTGAATGATGGTTTCATTGATTAGAGAGAAAAATCAGGTCAGATTTAGAGATTTTGTTCACTAGATGGACTTTTAGAAGTTCTGGGTGGAGAATGTGGATTTAAATGGACCCGTTTCAATCTGAAGGTCTTTCAATGGTTTTTGCTTCACCAATGATCCCACTGGACTTTATTTATTGATACTGATGTTAACATGAAGACTGTGGGATTATATTTATTATTTTATTACAACATGTTTCATCAGCAGGTATTGAAGCTCAGATGAATTAACTGAGTTTGATCTTCTATAATAACATCATGGTTCTGCTGCTGGTCAAATATTTTGTGCACATGAACGTTTCTGTCCTGGTCATGTTGACAGAACCAGGCTTGGTCTGCAGCTGCAGCAGCAAAATCTCACAAATAACAACTTCTTATTAGGAAGCAGGACTGATAACCAAACCTGTTCAAAGTAACTCAGATCATTAGTTATGTGAGCAGCGTTAATATTCCAGAAGGTTTTAGTGCAGCTTAAAGTGGCTTTATTCTATATAACTGCAGGTATTAAGAATGGAAACCAGATCTGAATGAATCTTTGTGTGAATTTTTCTGTCAGCTTTTCAAAGATTTATTTACATTTTATTAAAGTTTGGTTGATTTTAACTTGCTGATCTCTAACATCACTAACCTGGTGGAAGATGTGTCAACGTCTTTAACTAGACATGTTACCATAAGCATTGATGTAAGACATGGAAATAAAATAACCTGATATTCAGTCTAATGTTCTTAAGACAACAGAACCCAACAAACCTGGTATCATCACATGATCATAATAACAGATATAAACTGAAGTTACAGCAGGTAGAAACATCTCACCTCTCTGATGGTGGAGATCCAGGAGATTTAAAGTCAATGACCCCATCCTTTGACCTGTCGCTCTTAAAGGAGACACAGCTGGGTTCTGGTTCTGGTTCTGGTTTGAGTCTCTGATGGATCCTGACAGAAACATGATGATTAAAACTGAATCAGCAAAGAGGAGCAGCAGCAGCTTCATCACCACGTCTGTTCTGGCCTGATATAGTGAATATGAAATAATTCTGTTTCAAATCATTTAAGGTCTAATTAATATTTTATTATGCATCTCCATGGTAAGCTCTCCTGCATCTTAAAAAATAAGAACCATTTTGATTGTTTAATAATAAATACAGAATCCTATGTCATGTTGCCATAAACAGGATTTATAATGTAAACTATTTACTGGTTTTCATGTGTTACTGCAACCATGTTTATTTTTATTTATTCATTCATCTTTGGTCTTTAGTAATACCAAAAGGCCTGGATATGGCATCATTTTCAACATCATTATTTTTGAAACCTTAAGATTGTAAAAAATGAAAAAATTAATAAACTCCATTTAAGACACTAGAAACTGTAATTTTTAAATTTTTTGTAACATTCTTTTTAGAATCATGACCAATTCTTGATATTGAAGGCCAATATATCTGAATTTGTAACTATTTCAATGAGAAAAAGTTCTTGCATTACTTTTTGTATATTATCTATACATTTCAGTGCCTTAAATAAAAAATCTTTCCAACAGCATGCTATCTCATCCTTTTTTTGTGACAGAACGTAATGATTTTGCATATGAAATCTTTACCAATTTTAGCACTTTTATTATGACTATTTCTACTGTAAACCTAAAGCTGTGTAATTTTAATACTTTTTTTCAGAGATTACTGATACAGTAAAAGACTGGCAGCTACAGATGCCAGTAATTTACTCTTTATTTAGTTTCACCACTGTATTTATTATAACAGTAAATTTAGTTAAATGTTATTACAGTGTTAAACATGTAATTTAACGGCAAATTACAGCTAAATTCACAACAATATACATTTTTTACAGTATTTATGCTGTTTTAACTTAAACGTAGCATATTGTAAATATGGTACAGTTAACATAACTTTACAGTAACATGCTGCCATCTGTAGCTGCCAGTATCTTACTGTAAATTTACAGGATTGTTACTTAGAGTGAACTTGATGTTCTAATGATTCCCATCAGAACCGGTCCAATCCTCCAACATGTTCCTGATCATTGATCCTCCTGAATAATGTCCAGCCTTCTTTAAAGAGCAGAAAGATCAGTTTCTGAGACAAACATGTTGGTTTAAATGACTGAGAGAAGTTTGGTGATTTAGTGTTGAGTTCTGACATGGAGCAGAACCAGGAGTCCTTTCTACTCTGACATTCCATGGAGGATCTGATGGAGCTTCAATCAGAACCAGATGGTCCATTAGAGACCATCTGGTTCTGAATCAGATCCACAGGAGACATTATTTAGTTTTACTGTAAAAGTGGAAAATAATACTCAGTTTTGGATGTTTGAACGTCAGAAATGCAACCAGATTTATAAAGTTAATTTATAGAAACCTTTTCTTTCAGCATTACTCTGTGTTTAATCAGACTTACAGACTAATCCAGATAGAAACCTAGAAATTAATTTACTTCTGCCTTTGTGTTTCTGTGTTAATATTAATATTGGATGAAATAAATGAGTCCGTTTCATTTGGACAAAATGAAGTTGATGCAAAAACAGAAGAAAATGCAGTTAAATGTTTGTGGATCAAAGGTCATGTCCACCTGATATTTATGTGTCTGGATTTAAAAGTAAGTTCATTATGGCTGATTTCTGTCCTTGTTATTCCCACCTTGTTCATGAAATCCCAAACACTTTAACAAATTGCTTTTTACTGAGGTTGCTTTAATTTCCACCCCATAATGAGACAATTTCATTCCTCTATGAGTATAACTCTGTAACATAATTAAAATAATTCTTCCAGTTTCTCTTAGATGACCTGTTCCTTCATTAAAATAACTAATTATAAGTATGTTAATTATTAATTATAATTATTAATTCAAGTTGACATGAGTAGAATATGGCAACTTGATGTAAAACAGCTTTTCATAAATCATGAAAACATAATTTAAAATATTAAATCAGGCATTTTTATGTTTTTGAATCATTCTTTAAACTTTGCATACAGTCCAACAAATAGTCTAATATTTTCTGTAATGCAAATAAAGAAAAAAAATAACCTGAAATATTTTCTAACATTCCCATGACAACAAAACCCAACAGAACCTGGTATCATCACACAATGACAGATATGAACAGAACAGTTACAGTAGATAGAAACATCTCACCTCTCTGATGGTAGAAAAGATCCAGAGTATCTCGACGGATGCTTTAGCATGAGGCTCGCAAAGGACGACCGGCTGGGTTCTGGTTCTGTTCTGGTTCTGATTTGAGTCTCTGTTGGATCCTGACAGAAACATGATGATTAAAACTGAATCAGCAAAGAGGAGCAGCAGCAGCTTCATCACCACGTCTGTTCTGGCCTGATATAGTGAACGCTGTGTGAAAAGGGCTGTGTACAGTTAGAGATGGTGACCTCACCTCTGACCTTTGCTCTGGCTCTTATCTTTTTTGTGAAACAGATCTGTGGGCTTCAAGTTCATTTTTATTCTTGGTTCTTATTTCCAGAACCTCAGACATCAGACTGAGGAGACTGACTAAAAGATCCTAAAATGATTCCTCAAAATGAAATTAGGAATTTATTAGTTTCCCAATGCAACAAAAGCTGTTCTAAAAAAATATTCCCAATTATTACACAAGTTGTAGCTTTTAGGAATAATCTTATTGTTGAACAATTACTCTCAGTCAATCCATAACGTTAATAACCTCTTAAACCTGAATATCTTAGAAAGTAAAAAGGACATTTTTGGTTGAGTGAGAGGAGTTGAACCTCCCGTAGGACTTAGAGCGGTTTGGATCCTGGTTGAGCTTTACCGTGTTCGGTTCTGGAGGGTTGCTGGTTTATGAGCTTCTTTGCTGTTTGCTGAACTGGAGAGATGGCGGGAATCTGCTGCTCTTCCTGAGGGTTAAACAATTTAATCTAATGGAAACGTTCCCCAAAAATTAAGCAAACTTTGTTGCTTCAGCTTCTCCTCCTTTGGACGTCTGACATCACCTGAACCTGGGAATCAACATCCTCCTCTTTCCGTTTATCACACGGATCGCTTCGCTTCCATGTCTTTATGTTTTTAGCATCTTTTGTGTAAAAAATAAAAGGAGGTGCACTGCTGTATTGGTTTAGGTTTGTGCTGGTTTTGTGCGGCGCGCACATGATGCGTGATGGACAGGTGGTTGTTCTCCTGCAGTGATAATTTAGTGCGTACCTTCTGATCTATTGGACAGTTTCTTTCGACATCTGCTGGTGTGAGCCAATGGGTGACCCGTCAGCTTTTAAGTTTGCGAAACCACAAAAAAAAGACCCACCAGAACTGCACACTGTGAAAAGCTCAGGCTGATCTTAGAACAACAGGAGGTTCAAACTCCCCTTGTCCATTTTTAGCTCACAGGAAAAACAAACTGACCAATAAGATTTAGCCTTTGGCGTACCCTTTGACCCCCACAAACTCACACTGATGTGCGCTACATACAAAATGTTTTGGACAAAAGATCTTTATCTTCTCTCCACAATTTTGTTAAAATGGTTGGATAAAATACAACAGCTTTTCTTTTTTAGTTAAAGTACAATCTCACAGTGTGTACAGCTGCTGCTGCAACAATAAATACTCTCAGTCACTTGTGGCCAGTTTAGAATCACAGAGAAAATCTCCAAAAGGGAATCAAACTTAAAACTCTGAACTGAGAACTTCTGATCACATAAGAGCAATTTACAACTGTCATGGTGAATGATTAGTGATAACTATTGTCAGTGGTCCCTGACATTAATATGAGCAGGCAGCAAGGAATCATATATATATATATATTATTTGTAATAAAGGCTGAGCCAAGAAAATGTATATCCATACTTTAGCGATCTGGATGTTGAAGGTCTTATTTTAAATTTTACCAACACATGCTTAAATGCTCTAAATACGGTGGCTCCCTTGAAAACTATAAAAACTACCAAAAAGAAACGTTTGGAGCCGTGGCTCAATGAAAGCACTCGTACACTCAGACGGGAATGTAGGCGTGCTGAGAGGAGGTGGAAAAAAGATAAATTGCAGGTTTCGTTTGAAATTTTAAAAGAGTGTTTATTTAATTATCAAATAATGTTAAATTAGCAAAATCTAAATATTTCATTAATCTTGTAGCTTTGAATAAGCATAGGCCTCAAGTCCTTTTTAGTGTTCTGGATAGGATTGTTAATCCTTTGACCACATCTGGCCCTTTAGCCTCTGTTGAACTTTGTGAGGCTTTCTCTAAGTTTTTCACTGATAAAGCTACTCAAGCTACTCAAATACCCGAGTAGCTTTAGATTCCCATGAAATGCCGCAATGCACAGCTATTCTGGAGCATTTTCAACCAGTTTCATTAGAATAACTGACTTCAGTTATTAAACATCTGCAGCCATCAAATTATCCTTTGGATTGTCTTCCTACTCGTCTGATAAAAGACGTTTTTCTTACTTCTAGCCTATATATCCTAATGGTAATAAATGCCTCATTGCAGTCAGGTTGTGTCCCATCAATACTTAAACATGCTGTGGTTAAAAAGCCCAATCTGGACTCAAGTGTACTAGTAAATTTTAGGCCCATTTCTAAACTCCCTTTTTTATCTAAGGTCTTTGAAAAATTGGTTTATATTCAACTTGAATTCTATCTAAAAATCAATAATATAACTGAGAAATTCCAGTCTGGGTTTAAAGTTGCTCATAGCACTGAAACAGCTTTGCTTCGAGTTTTAATGACCTTCTTTTAACAGTTGATTCAGGCAATGTTGCGGTTTTATTACTTTTAGATTTGAGCGCTGCATTTGACACTGTTGATCATCAGATTCTTTTAAACAGATTAAAACATTGTGTTGGCCTGAGAGGCCCAGCATTTGAATGGTTCAAATCTTATTTAGAAAACAGAATTTTCACAGTTAATCTTGACCAATGCTATTCTGGGGCCAAACCTTTAAAGTATGGCGTCCCCCAAGGCTCAATTTTAGGTCCCATTTTGTTCATTTTATATTTATTACCTCTAGGTCAGATTTTCCATAAATTTAACGTTTCCTTTCATTGCTTTGCAGATGACGTCCAGATTTATATGCCCCTTAAACTAAAAAATGGAAATAATGAATCTCTTCAGCTATTGACAGATTGTTTGGCTGAAGTTAAATCTTGGATGGGACAAAACTTTCTTCACCTAAACCAAAGAAAAACTCAAGTTATATTATTTGGCCAAAGTCTTTACACTACAAATCCAGATCAGATTCTGGGTTCTTTAGGTCGGTTTTGTGAGACCTCAGTTAGGAATCTTGGCTTTACTTTTGATAGCTGTTTAAAGCTCGATAAACAAGTTAGTTCTGTCGTTAAATCGAGTTTTTATCACCTACGGATTTTAGCAAAAATCTAATCTTATTTTTGTTTTAAGGACTTTGAAGGACTGATACATGCCTTCATTACCACTCGTCTGGATTATTGTAATTCTTTATATAGTGGCATAGTTAAATCACAGATTCATCGACTTCAAATGATCCAGAATGCAGCGGCACGGCTTCTTACAGGAACCAGGAAGCACGACCATATAAGGCCTACGCTGGTCAATTTACACTGGCTGGCAGTTATGTATAGAATAGATTTTAAGATTCTTTTATTAACTTATAAAGTTTTAAATGGGCTAGCTCCCCCTTATCTTCAGGATCTTTTAAAACTTCAGTCTGTGTCCAGAACCCTCAGATCAAACAATCAGCTTTTACTTCCAGTCCCTCGGACCCGACTAAGGAAAGGAGATCAGGCTTTTTCTGTTGTTGCTCCTAATTTATGGAACAATTTGCCTTTTCAGATTAGATCTGCTAGCAGCCTGGATCATTTCAAATCGCTTCTCAAAACTCATTTTTATTCGTTGGCTTTTAACTGAAGCAATTTTTGATATTTGTTTTTATCTATTTGTGTTACTGTTGTTCCTGTGCAGCACTTTGGTGCAGTTTTATTCCCGTTTTTAAAGTGCTATATAAATAAATTTGACACTGACATATCAAACAAGTAGCCCTTCAAGTTACTCTACCCGTGAAGTAACTCCCAGTCTCAAAAAGGTTGGTGACCCCTTCATACAGACTCTTGAAGCCCTAAAATGATTTAACTCTATTCCCTGAAACACTGTCTTACCTGTGTTTGTGCTTCTGGTATTAAACTTTCTATTGTTTTTATGTATTGTAACCCCTGGCATTTTTTTGTTTTCCCCCGTTCTTTATATTGTATTAATATTTTGATGCAATAAAAAAAAGACCTGAAATTGAGTCTAACGTTCCCATGACAACAGAACCCAACAGAACCTGGTATCATCACATGGTCACAATGACAGATATGAACAGAACAGTTACAGTAGATGGAAACATCTCACCTCTCTGGTGGTGCAGATCCAGGAGATTCAATGTGGGCGATATGGGACCAAAGTTGTGAACGTAGTTCGAGTCGCCTACGCAACCTGACAGAAACATGATGATTAAAACTGAATCAGCAAAGAGGAGCAGCAGTAGCTTCATCACCACGTCTGTTCTGGCCTGATATAGTGAACGCTGTGTGAAAAGGGCTGTGGACAGTTAGAGATGGTGACCTCACCTCTGACCTTTGCTCTGGCTCTCATCTTCCCCACACAGAGTGGTTTTAGAGGGAGGGACTCCCTCCTCTCTGTCCTCACACTGATCCATGCTGCTGAATCCACATCAGCTCACACACACTTTCTAGCTTCACCTGCAGAGGAAACACACATCATTCATCTGCACATCAACTCTGATCATCCTTTACATCATTAGTGCTGGAAAAAGATCAGCTGCTCCTCCTCTGATTGGCTCTTCTTCTCTGCTTCATATCAGTGTCAGGTGAATGCAGTCAGACAGCAGAGAGGCAGAGGAAGCTGCCATCAGCTGCTGCACTTCTACTATCAGTCCACTAGATGGAGACATGGAGCAACATTTACATTCACTGATTCAACCTGAACAGGAAGTATTTTAGTTAATTATTAAACTCTACAAATAGATTATCTTATCAAAGTTCAACTATTTAATAATCTGACTGAATCAAAGACATTTTAAGAATAATATTTCATTTTGAAATGAAGCAGCAAGAAATTTGATGTTACTGGTCTGGACTGGAGTTTGATTCCTGGAAATAAAATGATAAATGAGTTTGATGAATGATGAATTATTTATAGATGCAGCTGTTTTCCAGATTAACAAAATAAATAAACATCAAGCTGTTCATAATGATTTTCTTCCAATTTATCAATAATTTAATAATCCTGTAGCTTAGCTTTCAAACAGTAGAGAAAATTAAACTTTGAGTTGAATTTAAAAGTGAACATTTTCTCTAAATATCATAGAATTGAAACAAGTAGGAAAGCTTCTTTAGATAAACTTCAAGTAGAAAAAACAAAATTAAACTTACAGTTTGTTCAAACAATCCAAAGACTTGAAGAAGAAAATCTGAACAACAGACTGAGACCCAACAGAACCACAGGAGAACCAGACTAATGCCAAACCTGAACAGAGACCCAACAGAACTGGACTTTTACCCGACATAAACCACAAGAGTTCAAAGTCCAGGTGTTATAAATGTTGAATAACTGATTATGTGAAACTCACCTGGTTTGTAGTTTGTTCTTTCAGAGCAGCAGAAGGTTTGCTGTAAAATCAGAGGCAGGTTGATCAAATCTTCATGAGGAAGGAGAGAAGTTCTGATGAAAATGTTTCATGATGGTTCATGATGATGATGCTGCTACCAACACTTGATTGGTTTTCTTTGTGCTAATCTTTTATTATGTTTTTTAATCTTGTGTTTTCATGGATGTTATGAATGAAACATAATTAGAGGAGAAATGAGTCCAGAGAAAAGAGCAGCTGGTTGATTCCTGCTGCAGTAACTGTTCTGATTATGAATACAGTCAGAATATGAACATAAAACTAAACAAACTGAACTGTAACATCACCACACTACTGCAGCTGAAACCACACATTGTTCTAATGCAGATTATTCCTAAAGCTCCTGTATAATCATTGATCATGATGTTAGTGTGGTGACCAGAGTGAGGACAGTCTCTGGTTAAAACCAGAATCAGCTGAGGAGGTTCTGCTGATCCAGGTTGAAATTTCATTTCAATCATCAACCTGAATTTAAAGTCAGAGTCAGATCAAGCAGCAGAGAGGTGGCAGCTTGTTCCAGACTCATTATTTACACATGCAGCTGTTTTCCTCCACAGCTGGAGGGAGGGGGGATGTTTGGAGGAGAGAACCTGAACATTCAACCTCCAGGTTTTACAGCTGGATTCTGACCTCAGCAGCTGGAACAACGACACAGATGAATCCAGTGACTCCTGGAAAATGGGATGTTTGGATCTGAGCAGGTCTGCAGATTCACTGACTGGGATTTATTCAGAAATGTCTCAGAGCTGAGAAGAGCTGAGCTTCTTTAGACTGAATGCTGGGAAACCTTCACTCCTCCATTCAGTGATGTTCAGGCTCTGAATGTTAAAAACTAAAATCAGTTGTAAACATCAGGAATTTTGTCCATTAATAGTGGTAATAATAAAACCAAACACTTCTGCTGTTAATTGAGTAAAGTCGCCATCTTGTATTTTAATAACTGTTGCTCTTTTTAACAAATCAATTTGATTAGATTTATTATTATGGAGAAACAACCATTAGTTTAAGTTATTAATTATGTTATTAGCAAATTAATAGAAACAAACTGGTGTATGGAGAAACAAACATGCCTCAATTAAGATAATCACCCTTCATATTACAGTTACTGCCATTACCACATTAGCTAAAAAAGCTAACATCTACGATTTTCCATATGTAAAGATTGTAAATATGTAAAGATTGTAATTTTTTGAAAAAAAAAAATGTTTATGTCCAGAATTATTTGCCAAACAGAGTAATTTACCTGCAGCATTGTTCATTAAATTATAATGCTGAGAGGTTACCAGGACTCAAAGGCAAGCAACTACAGACACGAAAAGCAGTGTTGACAAATGTATTTAATTAAATACTATGGAGAGAAGGTGGAGAGGCATTGATCTGCAGCAGAAAGGAGGAACCAGGCCAGAGGAGGAACTGAGAAAAGGTGATCGGTTAGACAGGGGAGTAATGAAGGGAAAGATGGTGTAACCAGATTTTGGCTTACTGTCTGAGGTTTAACATGAGTGGAGGTGAGTATGTGGGTTTCCCAGGAGTTGGTGCAGTGTGGGGTTTCCAGATGGAGGAGTTCCAGCTCCTGCAGACAGCAGCTTAGTGGTGGTATTCAGGGTAAGGTCTAGTGGACCAGCAAGGATCAGGTAATTCAGCAGCATGGAAAGGTAAAAGGTAAAGGATTTATGAGGAAGGAATAGATGGGAGAGTCAGAACAACATTGATTACAGCTCATGACTGATACAGAGCTGACACTTGCTCAGCTCTGTATCCCTCATCCAGTACTTGATTACCTGATCATCTTTGGGCTGCTCACAAATTTGATGTTGGCTTAATTAAAGGTCAAGTTCCAATTCACATCACCTCAAAATCAAGTTTAAGACCCCATGAACATCAATATCCCCTAAAACCTGAAGCAATTCAAGGAATATCCTCTGCTGTCAATTCAATAATATAGTTTCATTATTGATATATATATAGTTGTTCACGATTTTGGAGCGTTGTGGAAACTGCTCTTTTTTGAGGTCAGATGGAAGTCATTTTGCATCACAAACTTGTTTCTAAACTTTTAGATGCTGTAATGCTCCCATTGGCTATTGCTGTAGTTAAATGTGCAGCTCACACCAGTTCCAAAGACCCCATCTCGCTAGGCAATGTGGCAGCTGACACGGCTGCAAAAGCCGCAGCACAAATGCCATTAACTTCCGTGCTGGGCAAAGTACAAAAACACTCAGTACCGTTGCCCTTTTTACACTAAACGATTTTCAATCTCATGCAACATCTTCGTAAAACATGGTGCTGTTTCCACCCCTTCTGTGTGTTAACACATGGTGTTGACCATGAAACAGGGGTATGTTAAGAGAAATGGATAAATTGTGGTTTACAGTAAATTTTTCAAACACAGCTCAAATTTCTTGTGAAAACTGCATTATTTGTGCTTAAAACAACATTGCAAAAGGTCACAAAATGGAAGGAACAGGAGTACACCCACAGACATACACATCTTTTCAGCAGGTTATGATTTGAGTTTATTGAACTAATACCTTGTGAAAAGAAAAAATATTGTTTGGTGCTGGTTGACATGTTTTCAAAATGGCTTGAAGCATTCCTAGTTCAGACTGCAGATGCATCCACCATTGCAAAAATCCTTTTAAGGGAGGTTATTTGCCACTGGGGACTGCCAAGGAAAATTTCTAGTGATAATGGTATTTTGCAATCAAATCAAATCTTAACTGAACTCTCAAAAATGTTAAATCTGGACTTAACAAAACATTGTTCATACCACCCACAGTCAGGGGGGCAGTGGAACGTGAAAATGGGACTGAAATTAAAATTGAAAAACAGGTCTCAACTGGGTACAGGTTCTTCCAATTGCATTAAGATGACGAAGAAATAACCTCGGCCCATTTGAAATTTTGTTTGCAGGTCCTCCAAACCTGGGACTAGGACCACATGACAGTTCTGGTTCAGAACTGATCACCTGTGATGTTAACATGATTAATTATTGAATATCTCTAATAGAACACATGAAAACCACCAGAGCCAGAAGCCTAGCAACAGGCAATAAGCAATAGTTTTGTACTTCACAGGAAACAGACCAGACTCAAAGACTGGGCGATTATTATTAGACATAGAAACTGTACCTAATAACAAACTGCCTGAACCTGTTTTTAACTGAAGGCTGCATTTTTCTCTGTGTGTAATAATCTAATATGTTGAGGCCTGTCTGTGCATGGAGGGCTGTGCTTCTTATCATAGGTATCTGTGTATGAAGAACAGTATGCAGTATATCAGAGAGGTGTTTTCCTTTATCTAGTTAGAGCTCTTCTGAACAGTGTAACTGTTGTGCTCTCCATCTGCGCAGATGAAATAAAGCTGTATTTTGTTCTCTCTTTAACAAGGTTTGGACTTTGTTAATTCTCTCGCTCCACAGGAAAAAGATCACTTTCTTGTGTGACACTTGTGCATCTGGAACTAACTGTAGAGAACCAATACTAAGCTGTAGTGGGACATGGTTAAAAGCAACTATAGGAATCAATCAATCAAATTTTATTTGTATAGCACATTTCAGCAGCAAGGCATTTCAAAGTGTTTTACATAATAAACACAAAAACACAAAGTCATGGAACATAAAATCAACAATCAAAAACTACATCAAGTCAAGTGCCATAACAATGCAAATATAACACTGATTATATTTAAACTACAAAAGTCAGCCAAAGGACTTTGAGCTACTGGGCCCTTCAAATCTCAAAACTCAGTGAAATGTGATATTTAACCTACAAATATCTTGAGGAAGAAGAGAGCAGCATCGTGGGAAGAAAAGGAGGAAAAATAGAGTGTTGCAAATAAAATTAAAAATTAAACAGGAGGAAGCAACACTTATGTTTGTTGGACCAGAGGACAATGAAGCTCCAGTGAGTTGCAACCCCCACTCGCAGCAGCTCCAGCAGCAACAGCACTTTTATATCTTACGCTGCCAGATAAAGGTGAAAATAACTCCTATTATATGTAGTCCCTGTGGTAAAACACCAGTTTATGATACAAAGAGTTATCACCTTAGAAGTCAAGCAACCAAAGACCCCAAATTTTAAAACTTAGACGAAACTGAAACATACTCTGTGATACAAGTGCCAAAGAATAGTTTCCACATGCATGTTTTCCATCCTTAAGCCTTAGAGGAAGCAAGGAAAGCAGAAGAATTAGGAGTTTCAGCTCTTTCTTGCCATTTCACCAAGAGGTGGTGGTAAGGATAGGTTAGTGGTCCATCTGGGAATAGAGATAAGACAAGTTTTGATGTAGTTTTAGTTTCCTAAATTCAGGGAACTGGACGTGTTGAGAAACCTGAAAAGACTTTCATTTGAAACAAAGGCTTCTCTTAAAGAGTTCAGAGGCAGAGCGGCCACAAAGCTGATTTGTTGGCTTCTGCAAAGAAAATAATAATTTGGTATTGTGATCCTGTTAGTGGACATCCAGAGAGTGAATGATCTGCAATGAGTTAATACATTGTGCCATGGAATTCCACCAATTAAAAAAAAATTATTAGAGATTATAACTGTATGATAGAGATATAATATGTAATGTTTTAGGACAATAGTCATCTTGAAGATTCAGATCATGTCTGCAGGTTCTGAGTTTCAGGTAGAAGTTCTGAATGAAACAGAAAATATTAAGATTTTCCCACTTTATGCTTCAAAGCATTGACCTCTGACCTTCATGGGATGGGAATGTTTTACTTTAACTAGGACTTTCTGAAAGGCAGAGTTGATGAAAAAAATCTTTTGAATGCAAATATTTAAATTTGAACAGGAAAAGAACAGAATGAGCAGCAATTGAACCAAATTCAGAAGAAAAATGTTTTTATTTAAAACACATGAAGAAAAACTGCAGCAAATTTACAAAAGGAAGATTTAATATTCAAATCTGACATGTTGAGAAAAATAGGAGCCGATAGAAACAGAAACTGATCAGATTGAGAAAAAAACTGATCAATATTTCAATGAAATCTGATGAATGAAAGGAAAAAATAAGAGAAACAACATCTTGATATTCAGAGTGAAGCTTTGACTGGAAACAGACAGAAAAACATGAGGATCCTGGAATAATCCTGGAACAATCCTGGAATAATCCTGGAATAATTCCAGCTTCCATCTTTAAAGGACTGGAAGAAGAAAAAGTTTCCAAGGACTCAATCAGAATCGTTTCACCAAGAAATAGATTGTAGAGACTGAACTATCTGTTCAACAGTGAGAGAGTTTCTCTGACAGGAGGAAAAACTTTAGACTCTTTAGACTCAAATCAGCTCAGAAACACTGAAGAACCAGAACTGAACCAGAACCAGAACCCAAATCCAGGAATCAGAGGTTCAGTGAATGTGGTGTTGAAGGTGTGGAGGAGGATCAGTGAGTCAGAGGAGACTCTGTAGAAGGACAGAATGCCAGCAGGACAGTCCACATACATGCTACTCTGTTAGAGACAGAGGAGGAGGAGAGACCAGTTCCTATGTTATTGTGCCTGACAGAGTAACCATCATCATCAGAGCATCTCAGACTCCAGGAATGATCATTATATCCAAACAAACAGTCTCTACTGTCTCCTTTCCTCCTGATTCTTTGGTAACTGACTGATATCTCAACTCTTCCTCTCCACTCGACCTCCCAGTAACAGCGACCAGTCAGACCAGTTCTACACAGCAGCTGATTCCTGTAATCAAATCTGTCTGAATGATCAGGATATGACTGAAGCTCCTTCACACGTGTCACCTTCCTGTTGTCTGCAGACAGTTTGAGGTTTCTGCCCACTGTGTTTGTGTCGATGGTGAGTTGACAGGAATCTGATGAAGAGAACAAACACAATCCAGCTGCAGTTATTGATCATTTATTGACACTTTGACTCCTGAATGAGTGATGTGACAGTTTGAAGATGGTTGAATGTGAGCTGCTTTGTTGTCATGAATCAGATGAAAAACACACTTACATTTCCTCAGACCTGGAGTCAAGAATCGGCCTCCAGCAGGCTCCACCCTGAAAGGAGGAGGGGGGTCAGACCATCAGTCTCTTTCAGCAGCAAACATGGACATTACATGTCTCTCAGACACACATTGTCCTCCACTGAGACAGGAACAATCAGTAATGAACAAATTGCAGATAAATCATGTTTTATTGTGTTTTCTCTCTGTAACAGTTTAGATTTAATTTGTGATTCTATGCATCAGAATTTCAGGATGACCTGCGTCTCTCTAACATCCTTAACTACAGTCATTTTCAATAAATTATAATATTTATGAAAAGTATTTCAGTAACTCGGCTCACAAGTTAAACACATCATACAGATTAATTCCCCACAAACTGTTTTAAAGCTTTTATTTGTTAATGATGATGAAAACATTTCTGATCAGATTACAGATCAATAAAAACTATTAATGCAGAAATGTGGGTCTAATAAAAAATATGTTTAATATCTGCTGAAGTTGTTTTAAAACCTGACAAACGAGCCTCATGGGAACCATATTCTAATTTATTGAATATGACTGTAAATATGAGATTATTGACATTAATCCAGTAACAGGATGTGGAGGAGTTTAACGTTACTGGGACATTCATGGCAGGAGACGCTGCGCTCCATGCAGTAATCAATGTTACTGCCAGTTCAGCTGCTTACAATTATTTAATGTTTTATTTATTGCAGTCGATTTAAACTAGAAGCTGGTAAGATTACATAAAACTTATCAGTTCATGATATCAGGGAGGCAAAGGCACCAGAAGCATTGATTACTTTCAAACTAACCAACAAATCAAAAAGCTCAAAGCAACTTGGATGTAACTTGTAACGCAACAATTTATAGAAATGTAGTGAAGTAGAAAGTACAGATACTGTAAAATGTAGTGGAGTAGAAAGTACAGATAATGTAAAATGTAGTGGAGTAAAAGTTCCCAGGATTAAATCTACTTACGTACAGAAACATGAAAACTGTCCTTAAGTTCAGGAACAAAGTTCTTGTCCCAACAACAGGATCAGGTGAAGGACCTCTGCAGTCCCATGATGCTTCCTCTCCCTCTTCTAAACCATCTGATGGGCTGATATCATCCCTCTACTTTATCAATAAAATCTGATTCTTTCTCTTATCACGATTCCATTATTGATCCTAAATGTGACGTCAGAGCTGTGGATCTGGAATCTGATTGGTCGGATGGATATTTCCTTGTTTTCCAACATGTTGGGAATTTTTCCCAAACTTTATTGAACATTCCCAAAAGCTTTCCCAACTACTGAAAACCTGAACACATTAGTCTTTTCTTGGATCTGTCTAAATGGTTTTATTATTGTTTTTTAATTTCTACCAGTCAACAGAGCACAATTCTACTTTTTCACCATCATTCACTGCAATTCTTCATTTCCTCTGGAAAACAAGGGATTTCCATTCTCTCCTGATTCCTTTCATTCTTTGATCATTTTCCAGATGTCGCCCCCTGGTGGAGATCAAACTACTAAATGGATGAAACTATTAAAATTCTCACTTTCTTTCTTTGACTCATGAATTGTTTTCTTCACTTTTTATATAATTTATATTTCATTAAATCCTGAAAGTTGTGAGTTTTGTTTAAAATCTAAAGTTCTGTATTTTTCTCTCCCAGAACTTTAAACATCCATCTGACCAACATGGAGTTACTTTTCTTCTCATCTTTACTTCTTGGGGCTGATTGGTCTGGAGCTCCATCAAATATTGTTTTAAAGTCTTTCTGCCATCAGTGGATCATCATGGAAATCTAACTGAACTTAATTTATTAATTTAGTCAGAGTCCCTATTAAACTATTAAACCATCTCACTCTTTAATTTTCCTTGTGAGCCGTTCTTAGTCTGGAGAATATTCCAGAAAACTGGGTGATGATCTCTGCCTCCAGATGAGGCGTCTAAATATTTAATTATCAAATTAAACATTCAGCTTCAAACTAAATGTTTCCCAGCAGACTGACTAAAGACATTTCTCCCTCTTCCTCCTCTATCAGACCTTCTCTGCTCCTGCAGCAGGTTCCTCCATACCTGAGAGCTTCCAGTCTCCAGTGTGGATCCTTCAGTCCAGCCGACAGCAGCTTCACTCCTGAGTCTCCTGGATGATTGTAGCTCAGGTCCAACTCTTTCAGATGGGAGGGGTTGGAGGTCAGAGCTGAGGCCAGAGAAGCACAGCCTTCCTCTGAGACCAAACAGCCTGATAAGCTGCAGACACACAATTCATCACATGATGAGAAAATGAGAACATTGAGGTAGAAACCAAGCCCAGACAGACGGATTTGTAACATGTGGAATTAATAAGAAATCCAACCAACTGCTGGGATCTGTAATTATGCTTCTTTTTGCATCAATTTATCAAGAGCCCAGAGTTACCTGAGAGTTTCCAGGTTGCAGTTTGGACTCTTCAGTCCAGCAGAGAGAAGCTTCACTCCTGAATCCTGCAGGTTGTTGTTACTCAGGTCCAGTTCTCTAAGACTGGAGGACTGGGAGCTGAGAACTGAGGACAGAGCTTCACAGCTTCTCCATGAGAGGTTACAGACACTCAGTCTGAGGAGACAGGAAGGAAAATCTGGTATTAAACAATTCATCATAATTTCTTTTTTCCAGTCAACAATCTCTTTTTAGATAAAGAATGATTTTACAGATGCTTATGTGCGTGGGGTGAACTGGTTCATTTTACAATTGGGCCTACACAGTGGCGGAGCCAGAGGGGGGGCCGGGGTGGCACTTGCCACCCCCAACAGAGCCCTGGCCACCCCACTGGAAATGGTCATTTTAAAATATACTTATGAGATCGGCAAAGATTTGCCAGGAAAACTGTAATTTCCGACTGTCCCTGAAGGCAGCTCGATGCCCGACGCTGTTCATTGGTTAAACTGACATGTTGGTTCCTGCTTGATCCAAAACACATCAACGGCTTTAGAGTTACACCGTCCAGGAGTTTTGCAGGTATTTCCATTTTACCGCTCAGCAGTAACCGCTGTTACCTTCCTAATGAGAGGCGGCACTTGTCATACATTTCTAAAAAGAAACAAAATGGTTGTGCACCGCTGCATAGTGCCTCGTTTATTATATTAGCCATGCTAGTGCTGATAGATCGTGTTTTAGACAGATTCTTTTAACATGTTTTAGTGACATGCTGCCCTCTAATGTTTTATTTCTCCCAGCTCTTGCTTGAAATGTGTGGAAAGAATATGTGAAAACCATTAAGTTTTATAATGACTGAAATGTAAGTAGGCTATGTCATATGAAACCTAACTAGTTATATTAATTAATTTAATTACTCTATTTTTAATTAGTATTATTTTAGCTAGCTTCAGAAAACTAAAAACTAGTTTAAATAATAGTTAAAATGGTGTCTCTGCCAAACAGTCATGGAGTCTAAATACCAGGCTTATTTTGTGTAGACCCAAATGAAGAGAAAAGGGAAAATCTCCCAGTTCTTCTTAAAGAGGCAAAAACCAGGACCAGGACCAGACAGAACCCTGCAGCAGTGACCAGGACCAGGCAGAACCCTGCAGCAGTGACCAGGACCAGGCAGAACCCTGCAGCAGTGACCAGGACCAGACCAGGACCACAGAACCCTGCAGCAGTGACCAGGACCAGACAGAACCCTGCAGCAGTGACCAGGACCAGACCAGGACCAGACAGAACCCTGCAGCAGTGACCAGGACCAGACAGAACCCTGCAGCAGTGACCAGGACCAGACAGAACCCTACAGCAGTGACCAGGACCAGACAGAACCCTGCAGCAGTGACCAGGACCAGACCAGGACCAGACAGAACCCTGCAGCAGTGACCAGGACCAGACAGAACCCTGCAGCAGTGACCAGGACCAGACAGAACCCTGCAGCAGTGACCAGGACCAGACAGAACCCTGCAGCAGTGATCAGGACCAGACAGAACCCTGCAGCAGTGACCAGGACCAGACAGAACCCTGCAGCAGTGGCCAGGACCAGACAGAACCCTGCAGCAGTGACCAGGACCAGACAGAACCCTGCAGCAGTGACCAACCTGGAGAATCCAGCCAGGAGACTCCAGGCCCAAACGTCACCAGCGGGTTAGAGGCTGTGACAGAGAGTTATTAAGTATTAAAATCCAATAAGCCTAATTCTAAAGGTTAGCATGATGCTATTTGCGTTTTTTATTGTCTGTTTATGCATTTCACAATTAAGTTCCAGAGAGAGATGAGGCTGATACAGATTCAGAGTCAGACTCTGGGGAGGAAGACAGTGAAGCAGAAGGAAAAGGCACTGAACTGCCCCCACCCAGCACAACCTATTGCACACCAGAAGCACCAGTTTATTTATTTATTTACTTTTGATAATTTGTTTTTCATATTCTGGGCTCTGAGTTTACATTTACATGTTCACTGGTCCATAGAGCCGTTTAACGTCTTGTTTGGTCATGGCAAATCTTAGTTAAATAAAGAATTTTAATTTGAGTGTGAGAAAATATTTGTTTCCTTTCGTTCATCATTTGTATATGGACCCGTCTGATAAAGCCTTGCTCACACTTTGGCCTCCCCTTGGAAAAAAGTCTAGCTCCGCCACTGGGCCTACAACCTTAAAAGGACTGAACTAATGGAGTTTGGAAAGATAATTATGAAATTATACAATAAACAAAATTAATCTAATGTCAATTTTTAAAAAGATATGAATTTTGCTGCTTTAATATTTAACATTCTGTCCAGCTGCTGAAGGAAATCTGTTTCTCTTCTGTTCATCCACCCACAGTGGGACACACATTGAAGAGACAATGCACCATTATATAAACTGAAACATGATATAAATCATCATTTGTGGATTTCTATTTATCAGAAAACAGTAACAATCTTTATCCTTACAGAGCTTTGTTGGAGGCTTTAACCACTGGCAGCAGCCTCAGAAGAACCTCCTCTGAAGCAGAGTATTTCTGCAGGTCAAACACATCCAGATCTTTTCCTGATGACACTAAGATGAAACCCAGAGCTGACCACTGAGCAGGAGACATTTATCTGTGGAGAGACTTCCTGAACTCAGAGACTGTTGGATCTCCTCCACTAGAGAACGATCATTCAGTTCATTCAGACAGTGGAACAGATTGATGCTTTTCTCTGCAGACACATTCTCACTGATCTGCTCCTTGATGTACTGAACTGTTTCCTGATTGGACTGTGAGCTACTTCCTGTCTTTGTCACCAGACCTTTTAGGAGTCTCTGATTGGTCGGCAGTGAAAGTCCCAGGAGGAAACGGAGGAACAAGTCCAGGTGTCCATTTGGACTCTGTAAGGCCTGGTCAACAGCTCTCTGATGGAGACTTTATATTTGGTTTATTAAATAATGAAGATTTCTTAGATATTTGTGTTTCTTTCATCACATCACAACCAGAGTTGATGAAGGTCAGATGAACATGAAGAGCAGCCAGAAACTCCTGAACACTCAGATGGACGAAGCAGAACACCTCTCTGGTACAGACCTCTCTCCTCTATAAAGATCTGTGTGAACACTCCTGAGTACACTGAGGCTGCTCTGATATCGATGCCACACTCTGTCAGGTCTGATTCATAGAAGATCAGGTTTCCTTTCTGCAGCTGATCAAAAGCCAGTTTTCCCAGAGACTCAATCATCTTCCTGCTCTCTGGACTCCAGTGTGGATCTGTTTCAGCTCCTCCATCATACTTGACCTTCTTCACTTTGGTCTGCCACCAGGAAGTGGATGTACATCTCAGTCAGGGTTCTGGGCAGCTCTCCTCCCTCTCTGGTCTCCAACACATCCTCCAGAACTGTAGCAGTGATCCAGCAGAAGACTGGGATGTGGCACATGATGTGGAGGCTTCGTGATGTCTTCATGTGGGAGATGATCCTGCTGGCCTGCTCCTCATCTCTGAATCTCTTCCTGAAGTACTCCTCCTTCTGAGGGTCATTGAACCTCTGACCTCTGTCACCATGCCAACACACTGAGGAGGGATCTGATTGGCTGCTGCAGGTCGTGTGGTTATCCAGAGGAGAGCAGAGGGAAGCAGTTTCCCCCTGATGAGGTTTGTCAGCAGAACATCCACTGAGGTGGAGTCTGTAGCATCAGTCAGGATCTCCTTGTTGTGGAAGTCCAGTGGAAGTCGACTCTCATCCAAGCCATCAAAGATGAACAGAACCTGGAAGTGTTCAAAGCTGCAGATTTCTTTGGTTTCACTAAAGAAATGATGAACAAGTTCCACCAAGCTGAACTTTTTCTCTTTCAGCACATTCAGCTCTCTGAAGGTGAATGGAAATATGAACTGGATGTTCTGGTGGGCTTTGTCTTCAGCCCAGTCCAGAGTGAACTTCTGTGTTAGGACTGTTTTCCCAATGCCAGCCACTCCCTTTGTCATCACTGTTCTGATTGGTTGATCTCTTCCAGGTGGGACTTTAAAGATGTCTTCTTGTCTGACTGTTGTTACTGGTCTGTGTGGTTTCCTGGATGCTGTTTCAATCTGTCTGACCTCATGTTCATCATTGACCTCTCCAGTCCCTCCCTCTGTGATGTAGAGCTCTGTGTAGATCTGGTTCAGAAGGGTTGGACTTCCTGCTTTAGCAATTCCCTCAAATACAGACTGGAACTTCTTCTTCAGACCAGATTTAAGTTGATGTTGACAAACTGCAGTAAGATTTTCTAAACACAAAAAATAAAATCAGCAACTAAACAAAATCATCTTCTGAAGATGATTTGAATAAATGTGATTCCATCTCTTCATACATCAGTAAATGTCTGATTTATCCATCAGGATTAAATCTCTTTAGAAATCCTCTTACTGCTCTCCAGATGGTCAGCCAGCTCCTCCTGCTTCATCCTCCTCAGGAAGTTCAGTGTGATCTTCATCACTGCCTCTCTGCTGCTCCTCCTCTCCTCATCATCCTCTCTCTCTGAGCATTCTGGGTAATCTGGAATCAGAATTTTCTGGATCTTCTTCAGCTCGTTCTTCACATAAGTGATAATGTTGTTCTCCAGCAGCTGCAACAGAATAATAAATACAGTAAACCCTCGCTATAATGCGGTTCACCTTTCATAGTCTCGCTGCTTCATGGAGTCTTTGTGTAATTTTTTATTCCACAGAGCATTGTATACTTTGTCCTGATTGGCTAAACAGTCTCTCTGCTTCTTCTCTATCTGTGTTGAGGTTTAATATGTACATGTATGTAAAACCGCTTGACAAATTTAAGTCTGCAAATTCTCTTGCAATTTCAAGTTTCTCTAAAACCCATAATGTCGACAAACGTTCTGCAAGACAAAGGTACTTGCTTCCAAAAGGCAGAGGAAGATGCTAACTATTGCAGAAAAAGTTAAACTTCTGGACATGCTACTCAAACATTATCGACATCATGTTGGTTTAGAAGAACCTTTTTTCCCCAGAAGAACAAACAGCGACAATAACTTTGTTCATCTCTTGAGAAAACACACCTGCACCGCGGGCTTTTTGTGATGTAACTTAATGAGCCTCTGCATCCTTCAGTCAGAAGATCAGTGAAATACATGTGAGTTACTATTTGTCCTGCTGTACTTTGTATTTTTTTTCTCATAATTTTTCATTTTTTCCCGTTCTAATTTAATGACTCAGGTCGCGGTGCTGATCCCTGTAATTTGAAGCCTTCAATTTGTATTGATAATTTTTTTTACAGTACAGTAGTTATTTGTATAAAAAAAAACAAAAAAAAACAAAAAAACCTTTACAGAGTACTTTTATTTGTCAAACAAATGCTTGGGCCTGTAAAAAGGTTTTGTTATTGAGTTTCAATGTATTATGGAGTATGTCATTGTATAATAATTGTAAAAATAAATAAATAAAGGTTACTACTTCACGGATTTTGTCTTTCACAGGTTCTTTTTAGAACGTAAACCCTGCGAAAACATCACATTGAAATTATGAAGCCAAACACCAGATGAATGTTGAACAGACTGACACTCCTCTGATCTACAAAGTGCAGCATGGAGAATAGAACTCATGAAAAAGTGGTTCATATACAGACCATAAATATGGAGTCCAGCTGTGTTTGATGCTGCTTGGCAGAAGGATCACTGGGAACCTCTGAGCTTTGCTGGTCCACTCTGTGGAGGAACCAGGAACAATTAGGAAGTCAGGAAATATTCATCCAGCAGTTTTCACAGAGGAAATCACCAAGAGTTTCACACTAAAATCCTGAAGGCATGAAAACAGACCATCACATAAACAAAATACAAAGAAGTTAGAAAGAGTAAGATGAACTTCAAGGAACAAGACCAGTAACATCAGAATCACCCTGTAGACTTTTTAAAAAGTTGGTGCTGAACTTTGACTTCATTCCACTGTCAGCAGATTTGATGTTAATGGAGACCATGTCCCAGAGTTTGGGGACAGTAGAAGTGAAGACTATGCCTAGGGGTGTAGCTAAACAATAATCTCATGATACAATATGATATACGATATTCTGATCAAAATGCGATATGTATCAGAATATTTGGTAAATGATACAATTCGATACAAATCAATGCACTTTTTTGATTTTCTGATGACTGCTTAACAAGTATTTCACAGTGGGTTGTGGAAATGTTTCTAATGTTATTCTGACATGGAGCCAGGAAGATCATCATCATCATCATCAACACCCAGACATGAAGATATGAAGGTGTTTTTATTAGAACTGATCAGGTGATTTCTGCTGATAATGGATCAAACCTCTCTGGAAATATAACTGGAAACATCTTAAACTTACTGGAAGGAAAGTGGATATTTGTTCTTGGTTCCTAAAGAAATGGACCCTCTTATTTCCAGAACCTCAGACATCAGACTGACTAAAATTCCCTGAACAAGGAATCATGTTAAAATGAAATTGGGAATATATTAGTTTCTGATGCAACAATAAAGCTGCTCAAAAAGAATATACTGTGTGCACAATTATTATGCAGGTTGTAGATGTAAGGATTTATTTTATCTCGGTCAATCCAAAATATTAACAACCTCTCAAACTTGAATATTTAAGAAAGTAAACTTTTGGTTTTCTTAGGACAATATCAATTATTTAGAAACTATTAGTGTGCAGAATTTTTATGAAACTGAATTAAAACTGAAAATTTTTCCATCTGACAAAACCTGACCGATGCTACATGGGGATTTTCCGGCTTCAGCTGCTTAGGGAAGCTTTCCATTTCCAAGATTCTTCATCAGATTTGACAAGATCTTCCAGGCTATTAGTGGAAGAAACCGTCAGCTCTGAGTCAGTTTCATTTGGAAAAGTTAAGTTGATGCAAAACAGAATGAAATGCAAGTAAATGTTTGTGGCTCAAAGGTCATGTCAACATGATAGTTTATGTGTCTTGATTCAAAAGTGTGTACATTATGGGTCATTTTTGTCCCTGTTATTTGTCAGCAGTAATTGGGTGATTCTCTGAATTCAGCACATTTTGGGTTCTCAGGTTATTTCAAAATATTCCACAAAAAATTGTGTTTTTGAACACTGCAGCTATTCAATGACTCTTTAAACCTCCAAGAAAATAAGTTTCCCCATCTTATTTATGAAATCCCAACAGTATTACAAATGTCTTTGTTACTTAAGTTGCTTTAAATTCAACCCCGTAAAGGGACAATTTCATTCCTCTATGAGTATGACTCTATGACATAACCAAACTTGGACTGAGCCATTATTTATAAAAATGAGGGACTAATATGATGTTAGAGGGTTAAACAAAACTGGAGGGACATGATTAAAATGTGTTTTTATAAATTCATGTATTTTTCTCATATCTCTTTTATTTGGATTAAAGTATACCTAAAATGTTTAAAACGGTATAAAAATAACTTGCAATTACTATTTTAATTTATTTTACATTCAGTGAAAAATTAACATTGTTTAGTGTGGATATGCTCATTTGGCTGATCTCTATGTTCCAACAAATCTATCAAAACATAATTTTTAAAATATATTTGCACTTTTTAATACCTAGACAAGTGGATATTTTCATTTCCTGATTTTTCTCATAAAATGTGGTTTGCATTACATAAAAATGTTTGAGATAAACCTGTCATTTATCTCAAACAGTGGCCACTTCAGTTAGGTGAAGGGGCCACTTTATTGTTCTTTCATCTTAAAGGTTTTTACTCTCTAGCCACACAGTGGAGTACTTTGAAACATGCCATAGAGAATTGTCCTAAAACACAAAAAGCACCTCACTCAGAGAATGACCCCATTTCTTATGTATGGTGTCAGTAACTGGCCAGACTGAGGAGACTGACTAAAAGATCCTAAAATGATTCCTTGAAATGAAATTAGGAATTTATTAGTTTCCCAATGCAACAAA